AAAATAAGGGGGGGGGGGGGGGGGGAGGCCGCAAGTTGTCAAGACTCAAGCAATTTTGTTTGAAAAAAGAGCTGATGTCAGATAACATTTGTTTTGTTCGTGTTCATTGAAATCTACAGGATATAAATCTACCAAGGGAAAGTGAAAATAAGCAGGCAGGTGCGCAGGACTTCATTTATTCTGAAAACATCCAAAGAATGTTTATCCTCAGAACGCTCTTATTTTTGGAGCCCCGTCTTTGATGTATGCTAGAATCTACTGTATGGACTAAAAGTTGAAATGATTTTTACAATGAGCCTGTGTAAGTGCCCACTCTGTGTTAGCTTTCTGGACCTGACAACTTTAGCTCGTTCCAATCAGAATCCTAGAAACCTGCATACTCTTCACAGCAACGGGTGGTGTTTGGAATACAACGTCAATACCGGCTCAAAAAAGTAGATCGATCAAATTCAAATTTGCTGTTTCGGACCCAGACAGCTGTTCTATTTTCGGCGAATATCTTTCTGTTTATTGAACATCTGTGTCAACGCTTTCGGGACTAATGATGGAGATGCGAGATGAGATGGGTGCGAAAATCGAACCAAAAAAAAAAGCACAATCGGTACATTGCTTAATTCTATCCAAGTATACCAAAATCTGCCCGAATTTGATTAGAAAGACTCGGTTAAAATGGACACAGAAAAACATGTCGAGCTCTTGGTACTCGATGCCACGCCCTTGATCACACAATCCGCCTCTGCATTGCAGCAGTACGCCGTAAGACATTTCACGACACCCGGAGTAAAGGCAGAGTTAAGAGACGACAATGCCCGGAATCAGCTACTTCTTTGGGGTGACAAGCTTGAAGTGAGGCAGCCCAAACAGGTTTTTATCGATAAGGTGAGTGCGTTCGCAAAATTGACCGGCGACTATTCGGTGCTTTCGATGAACGATATCCATATTATTGCCTTGGCCTACGAGTTGGAGCATGAGAAGAACGGCGACGCCACGTTAAGAAAGTTCCCCGGAGAAAAGCTCGGGGGAGATGACGAAAAAGAGAAGTTGCACAAGCGCAAGCCCAGATTCCAGAAAAACGAAGCCGAGGATTCGAAACAAGATGCTGGAGAAGCGCAAGAAGATGTGGAGCAAGACGATGACGGATTTCAGGTCGTGACAAGAAAACACAGAAAGACCAGCTGGAAACAGCGAAGGAGACCTCAGAACAGCCATGTCGAAGCGAAAGCACCCGTGACCGAGCAAGTCAATCAGGCTGTCCAAAAGAGTGAACACAGCATCTCAGAACCTTCAGAAGAAAACAAGGACATAGAGTCTTCTAATGAGACACCTCAGCCCCAGGATTTTGACAATGTCGAAGCTGCCGACGAAACGGGAGACGGCGATAGTTCAGAGGAGGACGATGACGGAGACTGGATCACCCCCGGAAACCTCCAGGAAACGATTATGAAGGACAAAAACGAGACTGTGCGTGATGCGCCGATCGAGAAAGACGCTCAAATTGCAGTCGCCATCACCACGGGCGACTTTGCCTGCCAGAACGTGTCGATGCAAATTGGCTTGAAGCTCATGAACCATCTTTCGGGGAAACAGATCAAGAGCGTGAAGAACTTCATGTACCGGTGCCATGCATGCTTCAAAATGACGCCCATGCACAAGCTGGGCGAGAGAAAGCATTTCTGTCCCAAATGTGGCGGAGACACCATGATTAGGTGTGCGGTTTCGATCGACAATGTCACAGGCAAGATCACGCCGCATCTCAAGAAAAACTTCAAGTGGATCACTCGGGGCCAGGTGTACTCAATGGCTTCCCCGTTGAGTAAGAACACCCAGAAGAAGCAGGGAAACGGTGGGCACCAGCACAACAAGGAAAACAGACACAAGGATTTGCAGGAGCCTGTGATTCTACGGGAGGATCAGCGTGAGTACGCAGACGCCATCAAGGAAGACGCGTGGCGCCGTCGGAAAAGTGAGAAAATGCTCCAGGAGTTTGTGGGCGGAGGCAGTGCGGACAACATCATCTCGCCATTTGGTGCGTCCAACAGATCCAGTGGCGTCAGGGTCGGCAGGGGCCGGAATGCCAACGCGGCCAAGGGAAAGCGAAAGTAAGCCGACGAGATTCTGCATATCATATAGAAGGCCGAGAGGCCTGCGTGTACGGTATCTGTGAATACAGCTTGTGGCGACGTTGTGGAGGAGCAGGCGATTAGGAGACGGTGTTCCAGAAGCCAGGAATGAAATCTCGGAGGTGGCAGGAGCCATGTAGTGAGCGTGAAAGGGCTTGGGTTGATTGTGGAAGCATCTGATGTTTCCATGAGGCCGTTGGAGGGCGACGCAACTTTTCTTGTCAGACCCTACCAGTATTTTTCGTATGAATAGTTGATAGACGGCGGCATTCAGATGATTACGGTGCATGAATGCACGTCTACGTAGGGGGTATAATTTCAAGTAATGTTCCGAGGAACGCCATGGAAAGCGAATGGTGCAATTTTTCCCGATGAAGGGTCACTAGGAAGGTATTGTCTTCATTGATGGGCACGCACCGGGCAAGAGCCGAGGTCCAAGCCGCAAGAGAATAACAGAGTTGTGGGTGACTCAGTGCTGACTGTTGTAGCGAAGAATAATCAATGCTAAGAATGGGCAGGATAGTCACGCGAGTCATCAAGTTAATGACAGAAGCACTAGCGGAGGCCTCTGCTAATTTACTTTATTGGTATGAAGCCGCTGTTCCGACTGTATCACCCAAGCTGCATACGCGTAGAAGATTGTCGTATTCTTTACAGTCTTTCCGATCGCTGCCTGCCCCCTCATGCCCCCTCCTTCCAGCTCTTCGAGGGCACAATCATCACCCAGCAAATTTCCACACCTATACTATTGTAATTTCATAGTGTAGGTCCAGATGCACTGTACACTCCATACTTTAGTTTCGAAAGTACTATAATAGCTAAGGTCCGTATGCACCGTGATTCCAATACTTAATGTGCAGATGATATGTGATTCCAACGGTCAAGACGCAGATGTGCTTGCGTTGCCGAGCCAGTCCCGCCAACACCCAGCATGAACTGCCTGCCTCGATGCCTTCATGTTCATAAAAACCCAGGCCATCTCGTTCTTCTCTGATGTACTTCCAAGGTCGGTCGGTCTGGTCTCATTGCTTAGAGTCGCATGGAACGGCGAAACACACTCCATGGCACGTATTATTCTAGTTTCGCCCCAGGTCCTCCATACGCTTTCAAGTGTTTTGTGTAGACCCCGACATTGCTCATGGCCCGGTGATGTGCGGTCACTTGCCTCAGTCCACCAGCCTGGGGAACAGCGTCGAAGGGCCCATGCTTTTACCCTGAGCAAGAGGCGAAATAAAAAAAAACAAAAAAAAAAACAGAGACGTTCAATCCACACTGCCGAGCGGGCCAAGAAAAAAAGGCGCCCCACGGCGGGCCCTCTCTCTACATGTCCCCTACTGTTGTCTGATACCGTCTTTATTAGCTTATAAGCACCGCACCACCTACACCTACTAGGTGCACGATTGGCCACCGGCCCAGCGAGCGTTTTGGGACGCAGCCACAATATAGGCAGGCCCCGGAACCGCGGATCCTGACACACCGCCCGTGGGGCCGCCTGGCGGGAACGGGTGAAAAGACGTGAACAGTGGAAGGCCCGTGTCACGTGACCGGCCCCGGCTCGGCGGCCAAAAACGCCCCGCCCCAAGCGCCCCGCCCAGGGCCCTCTTTTACGTGCATGACTATCCAGCGGTCCAGACCCAGCGGAGACCCAGAGCCCAAATACTGGACTTGGACGGAGCCAGGCTAGAACAGGCAGCCGCAGCCCCAGGCCGGCCTGCACACGGCGCCGTGTGCAGGTGACAGGAGCGGTGCCAAACTAGCGATGTCTGGCGCCTGAGGGCTCCTCGTTCCTTCCAAAACGCCACATACCGGTTGCTCGTTCTCCACCCCCCGCCCCAGTGACCGCGGCAAAACCCCCACAACCGCCCCCGGCAACCCGATTAAGCCCCCTCGCGCGGAAAAAAATCGAAAATCCGCCGCCGGCCCGTGGATCCACGCCCCGGCGCTTATCCCCCCATGAGCTCCGCACAAGCAGCAGCGGCGGCCGCGTTTCTGGGCACAAAAGCGCCCGCGGCGCCCGCCGCACACAAGCGCCGCCCGCTGCTACGGCTCCGCACCAACCTCGGCTTGCTGCTGCCGAAAACGCCGACTCCGGGCGGCTCCGTGGGGCCAGAAACCCCCGGCAGCAGGACACAGGCGCTGCTCGGCGCGCCGTCGCCGCCCGAAAACAAGGCCAAAGGCGGCAGGGCCGCCGCGGGCACGAGCACAAACACGTCCCCCGCGTCGCCGCCGGCAGCCCAGAACGACGGCGCGTACACGCCCGGCTCGGGCGCCTCGCGCGCCACCAGGGGCCTGCGGGGCCTGTGGAGCCTGCGTGGCCCGCGCACGCCCATGGGCGCCGGCGAGGACCCCGGGGCGCTTGGCGGGGGCTACTTTGTGCTCCCGCGGTCGGCGTCCGTGTCCTTGCACGACGGCAACAGCGACACGCCGCGTGCGGCCCGGCTGGCCAGCACCAAGCCCCAGGACATGCTCGAGCAGGTGCGCCTGCTGATCAGCGCCAAGCTGAAGTCCGGCACGCAGAAGGACGCGGCGCGCAAGAGCCAGCTCGCGGTCAGCGAGTTCCGCCAGCGCGTGGATCTGCGCATGGTGCTCTCGCAGCCCGCGCCGCCGGGCCTGTGCCTGCGCGCCGGCGCGGACGAGGACGCGTCCCTGGCCTGCTCCAGCGGGCGCGGCTCTGAGAGCGGGCTCTTCTTCCACCCCGCAGCGGCCCACTCGCGCGTGTCGGTGGGATCGGCGGTCTCCGACGCCAGCGCCGACGCGCCGGACTCCAGGCTCTCGTGCCCCGACGCGCCGGACTCCAGGCTCTCGTGCCCCGACGGCGCCAGCTTGGCCGCGCTGCGCAAAACACCGCCCGCGCCGTCGCCCATCCCGATCCCGCTCTCGTCCCAGGGCGTGGACAGGGGCCTCGCTGCCGCGCCCGAGGGCTTGGCCAAGCTTCTGCTCGCGCCGGGCCCCGCCGCGTCCGCGAGCTCGGAGTCCGTGGGCGACCCGGGCCTCTTGCCCGCCAAGCCGGGGCGGAAGAAGCCGCCCTCCTCCCATGACTGCGAGTCCGTGCGTGATACCTCGGGCCTGGACATCGAGTACAGCGGGCTTGGGCTCGATGCCAGCGACTTCGACACCGACGACTCCGAGAGCGTCAAGTTCCCGCTCTTCCCGGGGCTCTCCTCCGAGAACCACCACCACCACCGCATAGGGCTCTTCTCGAAGAAGAAAACCAAGCGGGACAGGGGCGTGGTCTACGACCCCGAGCCGCCGCGAGACGACGCCAGCGAGCTCTCGTTGGCCCCCGCCCCAAGCCTGGGCAACAGCTTGGCCGTGGTGCATCAGCCGGTGAAGCTCCGCTCCACCATGCGGAAGAAAGACAAGCGGAAGGAGAGGAAAACCGCCTTCAACGAAGACAAGCCCTGGAAGAACCACGGCGACTTGGATGTCATCTCCGACTCGCAACGCAAGCGCTACGAGGGGTTGTGGGTGAGCAACAAGGGCCTCTACCTCGACCGCGTGGCTACCAAGTTGCTCGGCGTGGACTACGAGCGCCAAGAGGATTCCGAGCTCTCCAAGAGCATGCGGGAGTACAGCGAAATGGAGATCTCCGAACGCGCGGCCCAGCTCTCGGCGAGCCTCAACGTGGATTTCGACCTGACCGATGCCAGGGAGCTCCATGGCCTCGACTGCGTCTCGATGCTGAACCTCATACATGGCAGCGTGGTGAAGAAACTCTGGAGCAGAAGCAACCTCCCACGCGAGACTCTACAAGCCATCTGGGACCTCGTGGACTTCCGGAAAGACGGCACGCTCAACAAGGCAGAGTTTATCGTTGGAATGTGGCTTGTCGACCAGCGGCTCTACGGGCGCAAGCTACCGAAAGTCGTGAACAAGCTGGTCTGGTCGAGCTTGGGTGGTCTCGGCGTCAACGTTGTGATCAAAAAGAAGAGGCGGTAGGAAGCACGGCAGAGCGCTTCCCAAAATTTTGAAAGGACCACGTGCGTCCTTGGGCCATCACCAAGATGCTTCGAATCCGTTCAGGAATGGAGAGTATCCGAGTTTTCGGAAACAGAGTTCTACTTCCAGTCTCGGGGTTTCCTCGCGCAAGTCCGCTGAGACTGTATCCAAGCGCACCGATGCAGGAAATATGTCGCGACACGAACTTCGAGCTCTCAGTCGAATGAAGCTTGTTCCAATATGGGCAGCAACTACTCAGAAACTCGGCTTTTATTAATATTCCAGTTGGCGAGACCTAGAAGGGATTTATAGAACAGGGCTATACCTGAAACAAAAGAAGACATACTCATTAGACTTGTTTCAACCGGGTCATTCTCGTTACTCCCCCAGGTGACTTTCCTTTCATTGCTTGTCTCCAACCTTCTCGCTCGCTGTAACTTCCAGATCCTTTCTTATTTCCCATATTGCACTCAAAGGCCGTAACAAGAATTCAGACTGTAAATTTTTTCGACAGCATGTCGGGCCGGTCTATGAATTTGATGGATTTGCTATCGGGCGACTCGGATGTTCTCCAGCCGGAGCAGCCGTTCAGCAATTTCAGCAATGAGAATAGTCTCAACTCGCTTTACAGCGAAACTGCCCACACTCAGGAACTGCTTCAAAATACTGCCTATTCACACTCGGTATATTATCTCCCGACTGAAATGTCCCCTCTCCAGAAAGACATGTCCGAGGCAGTGGTCCACTTTTTCTCATCTGCCCTATTGACTGAACTTTTGCCGCAGAGAGACCGCTCAAATATTAACAGTCTCCTACTGGCTCCAGGCGATACAGTGAACCGAGGATATGGACTGGACTCCCATACACGAGAGAAAACTATTTCTCTTATATATAACCAGCTTTTGACCATCTGCATGCACCCCTCGCTAGTGGTCGACCATTTCATCTCGAAGGGCTTGTTGCTTCTGTCTACGAAATCCAGACTCTCCAGTCTCTCGGGGAAGATCATGCTTTTTGATCGAATGGTTGATCTCATTTCAGAAAAGTACGAGCTCCAGTCACCAGCTACAGACTACAACTTATTAGTGGTTGCGAAAAGCATCAAAGAGTTAGAATTGATTGAGGGATCCATTATCGGGAAAAAACTACGCTACCGCAATGTGAATAGTGGAAAATGTCTCTACGAAGAAAACTCCAAGCCCGCAAGACCCGAAAAGGACGAACTCCCCGACGATGAACAGACCACCGAATATAAGCACCGCCACCAACATTTTACTGCTCGACATGCGGGAAGTAGCAGAGCCCTTCCGAAAGAGTTTGTTCTTCATTTGATCACAAGCAACTATCTTTGCCTGTCTTTTACTTCCGATACATCGTATAATTTGATTGTATCGTTTGACTCTGATCTCGATGTGTCAAGCCCGGGAATCGAGTTATTGCGGTCGACTGCGAAGCCCGAGTCTGATGTAAACGGCTCAGCACAATCACAAATTCCAATACTCATTCCGACACCTGTGTTTTCCGTGGAACACCTCTCGAAAGTTGTCCCAAAGCCTGAGATCGAGTTGGGCAGTCTATCAACAGATACTGACTCACAATGGCGCTGTCACATCATCAGGTCCTTTGTTGCGAATAGGCACTTCATTTTCGAAGATTGCCCTGAAAATATTTATAGCATCAACTACGGAAAAACATTGGGTTCTTTGGATGACCTACTCTTCAGATGGCAGGAAAATGAACCCACTTCTGCCTACAAATGGTTGCTGAAGTACTCCAAAAAATTGGAAACAGAGACTTCCAGCTTAGAGCTCAAAGCGAGACTTGACAAGAATCATCTTTCGGCTCTCAACAATATCTTTGGTGGAAATTCAGATGCATGGGGCAGCAGCAGTCAATTGAAACTAGAGGATGCTGACATCAAAACGTACGATGGTTTCAAGAAACAAATGGCCCGTTTCTTAAATACACGGTTAGCTCAAACCGAAAAACTCAAAACCGAAGCAATTTTACGCATCATTCCTCAATTAAGAGAGCAAGAGACCCAAAGACAGAATGAAATCGATATTGATGAGGAGCACGTCGGGGAAAACTACAGGAAGCTCCGCAAGCTTAACGATGAAATGATTGCGGTGGACCGCAGATTCAATCGAGTCGAAAATGAAAATCAAAAATTGCAAGAGTCTGTGACAGAAGCCCAACAAATGCTTGAGCACTTACAGGATATTTTACAGAACAGAAGTGATGATGAAATCAACAAAGTTATGACCGAGCAAAAATCTTTGTTAGAGCAATTAGAAAAAGAAAAGTGCACCCTTTCGAGCGAGAGCCAAACGCTTGTGAATGAAATCGATGTTTGTCGTGAAGAGTACCAGGAAAAATCTACACTGGCAATTTTAGTTACCGAGAGGCTTCAAAAGTTGAAAGAGAAACATGCTCTGCATCGAAGCAAAGCCGAAGGCCCGGGAATGCTCATACTCCCTTCACTTTCTAGGAAAGATGAAATAGAAAATCATGAGCTTCATCTTCGGAGACTCACTGAAGAAAATGCTTTTATTAATGAGCTTTTCACTCTGCGATTCGACAAGTTGGTCAAGGAACGGAACTTGATGGTAGATACAACCGCACCAGTTTCTGGAAGCCGACAGACTCATCGCATAAGTAGAGCTCCTACTCCGCTATAGACCCGAAACACAAGAATGGTTAATGAATGAACCGTACGGGAATGTATTGCAATATAGGTATTTTGGCGTGGCTTATATTTGAAAAAGAAAATTAAGCATGACCGTCAAAGCAAATTGATAAACATTGGTGGATAAACTCAGTCAATACAAATGGTATTATTATTGTTTTGTATGATCATACTGGTTGGCCGCAGGAATGTCAACATTCATGAAGGCTTGATGGTGATTTTGTAACAGTTGTCAAAATGAATTGGGAATTTGATGCGATACAGTTCATAGATATAAGCCGTAGTCTTTGCTCTTGAGTTGTGCGAGGAAGATTTAAATTTTCGAAATTTTCGTAAAACGAAAAATGAGACCGAATCATTAGTCTTTTTGAAAAAGGGGTGTCGTCGGAAAAGTCACATATACTGCCATCTAATATGTTAATACAGAGAAGTATATGAACCCCTTTACTACAACTTATTTGGCATGGCCTATTCAACTGTTGGAAGTCGAAATAGAGCTATTAATATGAAGAATGCATATCGATTTTAAGTGAAATGAAGCATAATGACAGAGGTTATTCGTATGGTACTTTTAAGTTGAATTATAAATTAAATTATGCTCTCCAGATTTTTTTTTAAGCTGAATCAATACACGGCCAATGTACGTCAGCTCCTGTCATCACTTTATGACTGTGAGAGATTGCAAACTCTCTTGGACACTGCCAGACCCAAACTGAAATATTGACATAGTCTGCGAATCGTGACCCATCAGCAGATTCTTAGCGGTTCTCCTTAAAAACACATATACAGATTTGCCATTCAATCCTCACTTACCAAGCACTCCCACCAAGAAAAGACGTTGTCACCGTATGCAAACCGAAATTACCAAGTTTTTGACATCCCCTTACGGATTTATTGTTTCCGTCTAAAATTAGCTGGGAAGTCTACGTAACTATACAGGAACGGGAAGAAGTGCGGGGCCGCGGCCCGGTCATTTCATGGTGTTCATGTCCCAGACTAAAGCAAACGTGTATATATTGCTACAAATTATTGCGTTGAGCTCATCTGGCGAGTATATTCCAGACAATAAAAACATTGCACACGTATACAGAGCAGACTTTACAAAATGTCAGACACTCTCCTGGCGTATGTACTGCTGAAAGTATTTGGCGAGCCGTATCTCCCCACTGATTTCACCCAGCTCATATACGTTCTTGACTTGCACGCTCGTAAAATGACTACAGAAAGCTTGAACATTTTCACGGAAAAATACATCATGACAAAATGGGGCGCTATCCTGCTCATCAGAGATGCGGTGTTTGTGTGGTTTGTATGGCGTGTTTTCGTCATGTTTCTGGCGCCTTTGATCATGTACGGCCCATTGAAAACAGGGCGTAAGATTGTGCGGGGGCTCTATAAACGGGGCCTGACTGTGGTAATGTCGCTACCCCCGATCAGGAGAAAAGTTGATGCAGAATTGGCGAAGACACTTGCCTTGGTGGAGCTGGAGATCATCAAGAACGATGACGCACTTCTCCAGTTCCCGCAAATCCCAGAGCAAGGAATGTCGCCCGAATCGGTGCTTGAACAAATTTCGCAAACGCAAAGCAAACTAGGGCATAGCGACTGGCAGAATGGGCGTGTTTCCGGCGCCGTATACCATGGTGGAGACCAGTTGTTGACATTGCAGCTGAAAGCGTATGAACTGTATAGTGTAGCCAACCAGTTGCACCCGGACGTTTTCCCGGGGATTCGAAAAATGGAGGCGGAAGTGGTAGCCATGGTGTTGAGCATTTTCAATGGCCCAGATCTGGCGTGTGGCAGCTCCACCTCGGGGGGCACAGAATCTCTTTTACTTGCCGGCTTAGCAGCGCGTGAACATGGGAAGAAAGTCAAAGGAATCACCCGGCCCGAGGTTATTGCGCCTGTGACGGTCCACGCGGGTATCGAAAAAGCCTGTTACTACTTCGGTATGACGCTCCACAAGGTGGACGTGGACCCAGAGACTTTTCAGGTTGACTTAAGCAAAATGGGCAGATTGATCAATAGAAACACTGTGTTGCTTGTGGGCTCGGCACCCAACTACCCGCATGGAATAATCGACGATATCGAGGGGATCTCTAGATTGGCGGTCAGACACAATATCCCACTCCACGTGGACGCGTGCTTGGGGTCATTCATCGTGACTTTCTTGGAGCGGCTGCAAGTGCATGGCGATAAGCGGATTCCTCTCTTTGATTTCCGTGTGCCAGGCGTCACGTCGATCTCTTGTGACACCCATAAATACGGGTTTGCTCCGAAAGGCTCATCAGTGATTATGTACCGCGACGCCAAACTCCGGGAATGCCAGTACTACGTGCTGAGCGATTGGACTGGTGGAATGTATGGTCTGCCGACCTTGGCCGGCTCGCGTCCCGGGGCCTTGATGGCCGGGTGTTGGGCCACTTTGCTTGCCATGGGCGTGGAAGGGTACACACAGCTGTGCATGGAAATCGTCACCGTGATGAAGAAAGTAAGGAAGGCAATTGAAACCGAGCCGCTGCTAGTCAAGCACTTGCGGATTATTGGTGACCCGATTGCCTCGGTGGTGGCATTTCAAACACGGAACACGAGTAAGTTGAACATCTACCAAATCGGCGACGCCATGCTGAAACGTGGCTGGCACTTGGCGTCGTTGCAGAACCCAGCAGCCTTGCATTTTGCATTCACGCGGCTTTCTGTGCCTGTGGCCGATGCCATGATTGCAGACTTGATTGATATCGTGGAGTCGCAAGAAAGCGCAGATTCCTTGCCAAAAAGTGATACCGCTGCCCTCTATGGTGTTGCAGGCAATGTTTCGACGGCAGGCGTTGCCGAGAGAGTTATCGTAGGATTTCTCGATGCGTTGTACAAGCTTTAAAGCTGATAATCACTCGCGTTTCTGTATCAATATCAGGGCATAACCTACTGCAAAGTGGAGATGTAGATGGTCTACATACGACGAAGCAACTGAATCCGCTTCGTGTAGATCATTTATTTATGTCGGAGCCCTAAAAAAGGACAACATTCAGAGATTACACCCATGACCATGATGTCCATACTCTTCTTGATGAATGCAAATATTCCCTCTGTAGCAAACAAATATTTGCGTTCGCTGGGGTGATCGAAGCTCACAAGATCTGAGGATCTCCTTAAGTAGATGTGATTGATTCATGATCCACGCACCTTTGGCTAATATAAAGATTATGGCGCAAAGCAAATATACAAATAACCTTGGCAAAATGTGACTGAAGATCTGATTGAGACTGAACCCGAAGCTGAAATTGTCTTCCCAGAGTACTTTCTCTTTCCTATCAAGCCGAATAAAGGCGTTGTTTTTATACATTGCCATCGCTACCCCTGATAAAAGCTGCTGCCATTTTGCATCTTGAGCATGAAAAACGAGACATCACGAAACACTTAGTTTCTTTTTATATCTTCATGATATATATATACATTGTGATGTTTTACAAAACGCGGCTCGAAAGGACGCAGACATTTACACCTATATTTGCCTAAAACACAAGAACACACATTCAGGTCCGACTGGGATGTCAGCTTTCTTAAAAAAATTACTGCACTTGATCAAACTACTAGCATGCTAAAGGAGTTTAATCGGGTAGTTCAAACGATATAAGTTGATGAACAGTAAACGAAATAATTTCAGAGGTTATTCAAACCTATCTATAAGCAGCTTTCATGCGGTGTGATTTGTGTCATATAGTACAAAATAGTTGACAGTTAATCTATTCCGTCTGAGAAGAAACATATCTAATGTTTTGCACAAACATCCATATATATATATACATAGAAACACATCTTATTACAAGCCGCCAGAAAAGGTGAAAATATATAATATTACACAAGTCATCAGAAGACAGCATACATAAATAGTCCTCATGGTAATCTGGGTTGTCGAATCAATATGATAATTCTTGAGTGATGGATTTGGGTGGGGTTTGGTGTGGATGTGAATGGGTTCCTGGGATATGCGAGCAGGCGGTGGTGCGGTGAGCCAACCAAGCCTTTTCTAACATCATATTGCAGAGTGTCACTGGGGATGTAACTCTGCCACTATTTGTTTTGGTAGATTCATCTGGTTAGAAGGGCAAGACTATATAAATAATATATAGAAAACCTTTAAACAGCTCCACTAATGAAATAAATAAAGTAGCAGGCACTCAGAAGACCTTTATAAAGGCTTCTCTTAAATTTAAAGATACTAAAATAAGTTGGAAATAAAAAAATCATCAAAATGTCACAGAAGTATCAGGAGAGATTGTACACATCTTATCCGCTGGTGCATGCTTTATTATAAGATAAGCTACTGACTGACTGTTTGCTGGAAGCAGATAGGCTTGTAGATGATTCAGGCCTAATGCGTAGACCTATTCTATCTGTGGCATTCTTCTTTGTTGATCTTGCTTTTATTGTAGATTCATCAAGTGAGAAAATAGCTCCAGGTCCGTCTTGTCGGGAGAATTTAAGCACCTCCATTTTGTGACCTAGGGGAATTGTTGGGTTAGTTGGGATCTGCAGATATAACCAGTACCATATTTTTTTTTGGTAGATTCGTCTGATTAAAGGGGCAAAACTATATTTTTTTTTTTTTTTTT